TCCTCCACCTGAGGTTCAAAATTTGAAATCTAAAATTGTTCCTAAATTTATTTTTACTTGTTTCAACTATGGAGAATTAGGACATATAAGGTCTAAATGTCATAAATTCTTGAATAGAGATAGACGCCAGAACTTATATAGAAATAAAAATCAGGAGTTTAATAATGGGATTGACTTCCTTACTAGTCAAGTGAGTCAATTGATCGAGTTAATGACACAGTTAACTACGATTAATTCTTCCACGTGACAAGTTTGGGTGAAGAAAAGTGATCTGAAAATTTTTGAGACAGATCACAATGCTCTTAAAGGTAAGAGCATTTGTGTACCTAACTGATTAGGTATTTTTGGTGTATGATTGTGCTTTATCACTGTGTTTCATTTATTATAGCATGCGTATCAATTTTTTTTTTTTTTTTGTTTTTACTATTTTGTTTTTAAATTGTTTGATTTTTTTAAAAAAATAATAAAAAATTTTGAAAAATAAAAAAAGAGGAATTTTTTCTTCAACATAATATATAATTTACTTGAACATGTGTGTTGTGATCAAGTATGAGATTAATTGATGTGTTGTAGCATATTTTCCATTACTTTGTTTAGATTTATATGAAGAACTTAGTATACATTTCTTCATGTACCATTTCATCGCACACACTATAATCTTGTGATGAGTCTTAATCACATGTGTGAGATTTGAGATGGCAGTCATCTATTTATAAGGTGACATTGAACATGAATTGACCTTAATTTAGTTGAATCTCTAGTAAATTTCCCTGAAAAGTAAAATAAAATGTGTGTCATCTTATACTCTTTTTTCAAAGCCTATTTGACTCGAATAATTAAGCTCTAGAGATTTCTCATAACCTGATACCCTATGGTCAATTGAGTTGGAGTCAATTGCCCAAAACTCGTTACAAGGGTCATCTTAGTCGTTTAATGGAAACGAGTCTACACATAAGATGTTAAACGGTGAAGAGAAATATGATGAATTTGAAAAGAAAAGTATAAATCGTGCGAAAAAAAACAAGCTCAAAGTCAGGGGGAGAAAATAATAATATACGTGAAAATGAGTTTTATGTATAAGTCCTAATATGCAGTTTTTGGTTTGACTTTCATTAATAGATGAATCAACTTATTTAACTGTGATGTTTAGCATGTTCTTTCTCACAAATATAAGGTTTGAAGTCTTATTTACAAAGAATTAGTGGCACTTAATTCATGAGTCACTTATACAATTTACACCATTTAGATTTGAATTGAGTATTGGAAAAGTTTACTAATCATTGATTATGCTTGTACATGCTATCAACTGCATATTTGAGTTGTTATATATTGTTCATTTATTTTCCTTTCATCATTTGTGACAAAAAGGGAAAGAGAAAATGTATTTTGGGTGAATTTAAATTTAATTTTGGAGAGTTTGTAGTAAAGGAGATATGATTTTTTGAATGCCTAGCTAGATTAAGTTTTGATGTCTAGTGATGTCAATGTTTGGTTGTGGTGTGTTGGTTTACATTGATATCACATCTTAATTTAGCTGCTATGTGATTGAACTTATGAATAACTGTCTCAAATGCTTTAATTCTTGTTATTGTTTCACATGCTTTTACACTTTGTATTTTAGTTGTTCTTTTTCGTTATACATCGTCGCTCGAGCGAGAGCTCAGCGACTGGCGAGCAACGGTGTTTTGCTCGAGTGAAGTCCAGGCGGCAGGCAGGCGATACACCTTCTATTTTTACTGCTTGAGCAACTGCTAGGCGACGGGCTAGCGAAATTGCAGCGACGTTTATTCTTTTGTTCCATACTCAGACCCTAGGACTTCTAAATTACTACTTGACCCTTTGACTTTTAAAAACTCTTTTAAAATAATAGTTTTGTCGAAAGATTGCCAACAATTTCAAAACCTAACAAACTCCCCATTTGACATTATGTGACAAAATACGTATTACAAACCCAATAGATTTAATCTAATCTACCCAAAACTAACTAACATGTCTAAAGCTTGCATTTCCTTTGTCCAAACCTGTTTCCTGAAAAGAATAACTCAAATATCAAGTGTAAAAGTACGTGAAACAATAACATGAATAAAAACATTTGAGACAGTTATTCATAAGTTCAATCACATACCAGCTAAATTAAAATGTAATATCAATGCAAACCAACACACCACAACCAAAAATTGATACCACTAAATATCAAAACTTAATCTAGCTAAGCATTCAAAAAATCATCTCCCCATTACTACAAACTCTCCAAAATTAAAATTTAAACAGATCTCATTCATACCTCATTCCTCATTCTTAAGCAAATCTCATTCATAGAATTAAAAAAAAAAAACTCTCATTCTAACCTTCCAGTATGCATAATTATTGCCATCAAAATATGGCGGGACGGATAATGAATTACTCATCTAGAAATCTAAGGCCAGGATTCGAATTTAGACTCTGATACCAATTGAAAGTTAATTAATACCTAGAAGGGGGTGAATAGGTGTTTATACGGAATTAAATATTATATTCGACCTTACATGCAGAATTATACAATTAAAAGCAACAAGTCGCTTTTTAATTATTTCTATATGGTTAAATAAACAGTTCAATTATCCTAAATTGAATTACTGCAAATTATAATAAGAAAGCACTAAATAATACTAATATTGATGGCAAAGAAACCCAATTAGGTAAAAATTTTGGGATCAAGTCAGTTACCTCCATTATAAACGAATCAATTTATAGTACTATCAGACTCGACTAATTCTAGTATTTTCTGACATCTTAANATCGTTTAATTTAAAAACTATAATCTAAGGGTGTGTTTGATGGATATTATTGAGGAAATAATGTATTTTAAATAGTGATATGATGATAAATATGTTATTAAAAAGTAAAGAAAATTTATTGATATAATGGAAAATATTATTTTATTGAAAAATGTGTTGTTGAAAATGAATTTTAAAATAATGTATTTTAAAAGAATGTGTGTCAAACAGGAGCTAAGTTTCACATTCGAGTTTTACAATTTTCTATGGCATCGCTCCCGAGGTTTCTTCCACCAACTCCTTGGGTATTTTGTAACAATGGGGGACATTAAAGAAAAAGGTTAGATGAGAAAATGGACCACACATTAGCAAAAACTTCCATAGTATATGTTTGTAAAGCTAATTTTGCCAGCAAGAAGCTCATCATACAACAAGAAAACAAGGGTAAGAAGACAAAAAAATGTGTCCCATTTCATAATACAATCTATTGACGTGCTCATTGGTTTACTCAATGACGCTGTCAACATAGGCGGAAATCAACTTGCATACACATGTACACATATATTGGGAAAATTGGATTAGTGGTCCGACCTTTAAAATTGGCATATTGATCCTTAACATTTTATTTTAATAGCGTAATCAGTCGATAAAAGTGTCATTATCTCTTTTAAATCGTCACGTAATCTTACTATCCTACTTTAGGATTCATATTTATTTGGTAGTGTTTTATGTAATATGTGGATCGTAAATTGTATATTCTAATAAATTTGCAGAAAAAAATATATTTGACAAGCTCGATTGCTCAAATTATAATTAAAGTTTTGCCAAACATGCTCGAAATCAACTAGGTTTTACATACCAACTTAGATTGTTGGCCAATTGGATCCAATTTTATTTATATGAGGATCACATAATAATTTAACGAAAAATAGAATTATTTTTTTACATCATTTAAGGTAGATTGGGATACTAAAAGTTGGAGACTGACTTGTAATTCAGACAATAAATGAAGACAAATTCTGCAAATTTCCCGGCTATGAGTGCGTGCACATTATATTGCTCCGACATTCACGGTAATGCTAACATCAAAGATCAATAATATACTCTAGTTCAATAATATGAGAAGACTTTAGTTAATGTAAGAGTTGTTTATTAAACATCCAATAATAAAGCATTGTGAATGAAATATTTTAATTTTATCATTTGATATTACCAAGGAAATAAATCAACCAATGTTGTTTTTCGAGTACCAAGTAGTTTAGACGTTTAGATGGGAATTTGACCCCCAACTCCTGTATAGGTCAACCTTGACTATAGTTGAGTAGACTCAATTGTCGACTAGGTCCAAGTAAACTCAACTGATGAATTTAAAAAGATAAAATAAAAATCAAGAATTTGCTGGCCAATCATGAATTAAGCCTCAACTAAAGTCAAGTTGTTTACTACGAACTATAGACACTTCTTTTTGTTCGTCTTCGACAAACAAGTGATGTTAACCAAATAGTATCGTTCTTTTCATCGAGTATAGATTAATAGCAAGGATGTTTATGAGCTCTATCACCAATGGTTGAGTGTTATCCAACCTAACTATTCTATGCATGTTTGTTATTAAATACTAATAAATAGTCCTGATCTCTTCGTCTAAGTGGGTAAGAAAAATTTCTCATTGATGACGTGATAAGAAAACTTTGGTTATGATTATTTGAAACAGTCATAAATTCAGAGAAATTTTTTAATGCCTTCCGTAGGATCGGAGATCAATTCTATACTAATGTTTTTTAATACTAATTCATCATCTAAAGTCCTATTGGCTAATGATGAAAACACAAGGTTGGCTCTGCCAACGAGGTGAAATCTAAAAGATGTAGCACACTTCAACCCCAATTGATGCTAGTGCCCGACAAAATCTTCACCCCCTCACATGCAAACAAATTTTACCCTTGCAAACACCCGTTCCTGTCTCTGTCTAAAAAAAACGCCGTTGACTAAATTTATAGATAAAAAAATATCAAATTCAAAACAACTTTTCATTAATAAATGAATAAATAGAAATAAATGAAATTGCTTAAATATTATTAATCATATAAAAGAGAGTATTCTCCAGTCTATGTGAAAGGAAGGGAAATTGTCTTAGCGTTGGGACTGACTTGCACCCAAATGCAATAGTTTCAAGAAATCAATGTTGAAATTTTTTGAATGGAGAACCCATATTTTACATTAAAGCAAAGTTTGGGGACTGGGAAATTAGGCAGTGTTCTTGATTTTCTTGGACATTGCCTCTGGTGAAGAGGAAACTGATGATGATGCCACTTCCCAAGAATCATTAGAGCTATCGGAACTGAATGAAATATCCATAATCCCATTGGGGCTATCAGGAAATGATCCAAACTTCCTTTTGTTGGATGAGTGGAAGTGAACATTTGTTGTCACTTCCTGTATTAGTCTACAACAATCCTCCACTTTCTCCTGTTTCATTACACAAATAGTGTTTTAACAGCATGTTGAAGATTAAATTTAAATAGAAAAATGTGTCACGTAACCCATGAAATGCGACGAAGAGTCTTTTAAACAGTTTGAACCTTTAGACGAGATCTGTAAGAATGAAATTTAGATGGGAAAATGGAAATCCAACCTTTTTTATTCCAAGAATGCCTAATAGTTGGTATTGGTACTCCACTCCAATGCAGGGCTTTACACTACTTATAACATACAGCATTACAGCAGTGGCCAATGCAGAAGGCAGATAACAGATGAATCTACAATCTGCAATTGATACAACACAATATGATCAGAAAAAGTTAAATTTATTGCATTCTAAATTTCGGGCATCGTCCATGTACAAGTTTTCGTAAAATAGCGGTGAGATACGTGTTTTGATGTCACCTCGAATCACCTCATTTAAGAGCTTAATCCAGGACATGGACTACTAAGTATCTCAAAATGCTTACCAGAAATGAGAGAGAGAAGCAGACACTCGCATTTCTTAAGAAATCTCTTATATAGGTGGCTCTTCAATCCCAGTCTCCTTGCAATGTAATCAAGAAAGGGGAGTGGGGTAACAGGATTCATCTTCCATTCAAGGGTGCACAGAACCAAAATCTCCATTCTTTGAATTGTTTTTGCCTCAAATACATATTTAGACTCCTCCACCTAAATGCATAATATTCAAAATATACAAAACGATCATTTAGTACATAGTAGTAGACAAGGCTCGAAACAAAATTTGACTTTTGTTCTTTCATACTGTTCGATATTCAGTACTGTCCAATCCTTCCTATGGTAGCATAAATCAAAATAGAAATTTTACATACTTGGAGGTCTAAAAGGAGAGGCACTTGAATCTCCTCTACTTTTGCAGCCAAAGAAAGACAAGCCACAGCAGCTAGTTGAGTCATCCATGGCTTCTCTTTGTGGGATTGAAAGCTGAAGAGAAACCTGTCCAAGTAATTAACTGCAAGAACTGCAGTAACTGCAGAGAATGAATAATATTCAGTAACCTTCAGCATCCACTCCACTGCTTCACTTCTAGCGTTAGCCAAAGATGGGTTCTCCACCTCAAGGCCAGTGTACAGTTTATTTTCCTGCTCTTTTGACAATAATGTGCTCAACTCCTCATCTTCCCACAACAAATCCATTTCATGTAAGACTAAAGATTTGGGGTTTATTATTTTGCTGTCATTTTTAAAGATGCTATCTTCTTCATTATCCCAATGCTCTTCTTCCTCACAATACAAAGCATCTAACAAGAATGGAAAGTTTAGTTGTTGAGACATGTTCTTCCTAGAAAAAGAGATTAAAGGCCAGCATTCATTAAAGTCGAGCAAAGATGTATAAGATGATGGAGAAAGAGAGGCCTAAAGCTTTGCATTAAGCCATCTCTCTATAGAAGTCGAGGAGGAGGATACTTTAAGAATGGTGGGTGGGTGGGTTGGTAGAGGGGAGGCGCAGACCTATAGTTAAATGGCTTAAGATTGTTTTTTTTTTTTTTTTTTTTTTTTTTTTTTTTTTTTTTTTTTGGTTTTNTTTTTTTTTTTTTTTTTTTTTTGTGATTTGGCTTTGTGGGCTCTGAGCTCTAAACTTTTCTTTTTGTTTTGGCGAATTTTTTTATAAGTTAATGAAATGCATATTTAAAAAATTGATAATAGTTGTAGCTCTTATAGAAAAAAAAATTATTGACTCTTTAGCTAAATCAAACTAGACCTAAAAATGAAATTAAATATATATACAAATTGCATGTTTTTTATTTCAATAATGTTGCTCTTATTTAATGGGAATTAAAATCAATTTTTTTTATTAAATTTTGATAAAAAAAAATTTATGAAATATGTGATTGAAAAACTATGAATCCCATAAAATATATGATATTAAAATCTTATCAAATTTCTTTTTTCTTAATTTGAAAAGTAAAAGAAGATTTCTAGTGTGTGACAGTGAATAACACCTGGTCCCTGGATCATGGGTCATGTAACGCAATAACTAGACACGTGAGAACTTGTACGTGTTACATATATAAGACCAATTGAAAGGGACCCAACAGACACAGATTGCACGTAATTAGCTACAATACGGTTTATGAACCAGTTATGGACCCTCCAATAACAAGGCCTCTTGTGGCATAAAACGATGTAACTCATGGGATCAGATATGACCAAACAATGATAAGGTCCTTTGATGTAAAAAATGGGAACTTTATGGAGATGTCGAGCGATCAGATTTGAGAAATTTTTTTTATTTCTTTAGTTTTTCTTGTATTTTGAGAAGCATCGATAGGTAAAAATAATTTTTGAAACTGTATAATTTATTTAGCCCTTGTTCGATACCATTAAAAATCAGATTAAAATTTAAGTTAAAATCAACAGTTAATTTTAATCACGTATTGCGTATGACTCAAACTTCTTAATGACACATTTCATTTACTTTTATCAAAAATTATTATTAAATTTTAATCTCTATTTGATAGGGACTTAATTATTATATTCGATACATTCTTCGAGAGAGTGGATTAATTTTTGTTGGGTACCCAACAATTTTTTAATTAATTTGACGCGTGTAATTTTTAGGGAAGTTGAGAAAAAATACTGATTTCATTGCAATCATGTTACATGTACATCATTTTTTACATAATTGTTTACATTTTACTACGTGACAAGACATCATTGGACAGTTAAACAAATTAAACATTTTTCCCTTGAATTCCTTTTTAAATAATACATCAAATGTCAAGGATGGTATACGCGTGGAGTTTACATTTAACATTTTTGATAGAAAAATATTGATCATTAGTAGCTAACTTAATTTTTTTTCTTTTTCTTTAAGCTTTAATAAAAGCGTAGAAGGTCTTGTCAAGAAAGAAAGTAGCCAAAAGTTGCGGTGCATGCCCCTTCTATTACTCTAATTTCATTGCAAGAGTAGACTCTACCATATTAGCCAAAATCTAAACGATGATTTTAAATCTAGTGAATAGGACGAGGTATCTATTATTTTTTCTTAGAATGTGATTTATTATTAGAAATAAACTATTAATTGCCATATATCATTTTCAATCACACATTTTAGAAATTCACAAGTACTATTAATTTATCCATAATTCATTTCTATCTATTTATAAATTACCGTTTATAAATTCTTCCCATACGAAGGCTTAGTTGGTGATGTGGGACAGAATCCTTCTCCAAATCAAATGCTACAAAAAATTAAAAAATAAAAGTGTCAATGTTAATTTAAGTCTAGAATGAAAATTGCAAATATATTTTTTAAATGCTTTCTAAATCAAGAATTTGATATAGTAATTACCGATAAGACGATTATTTGTTAAATACTTATCGAAGACTGAGATGATGGGTAGGTAAATGCGGTTAGCTTCGTCCTTGAAATAAGTAATCACACTTAGGCCCCGTTTGATAGTACACATTTTTCATTTTCCAACTTTTGTAGTGTTTGATAGATAAAATTTCCCGGGAAAATATTTTCCAACTTTCCAAATTTTCCACATTTTTAAGGAAAATAAATTCTTGACGTTTTGACGGGTAAATATTTTCCAATTTTTTTTTT